AAGAAGTGGAAGAAGAGGAAGTAAAAGAGGGAGAAGAGGAATAAGACGGAGGAGGGGAAGATGGAGCAGAAGATGAAGAAGTGGAAAAAGAAGATGACGATGGTGAAAATGAAGGAGTGGAAAAACAAGAGGAAGGGGAAGGAGGAGGCTGAAAATGAAGAAGGCTATGTGTAGAACGGAGGTAGAAAATATGAGCTTCTAAGAATAAAGGTGAGAGAAAACGAAACATAAAGATAATACTAGGCCACAGAGAAGACGATATAATGAATAGCGGGAACACGGAGGGTGAGAAGGTGGAAAAGTGGAAAAGAAAGTCCCAGTTCAAAATTTACTCGCGATTCAGAGAATGTATTTAAAGGGAACTGTGCAATGATTTACCGTACTAACAACACAGGTAAATCATTGCACAGTTCTATACTACTGGCTGCCTGTTGGCGGTTTGTGAATATTAAGCGGTTATTCCGCAGTAGCTGATGGATTTCAGCTCAAATATTCATATCAAAATTTGGACCGTGCGTGAAAAGGCCCGTTTCGAAAGACTTACTCCAAGTTCGCGCATTAATTTCCTCGGAAATTAGACAAGGTATTTAAAGGGAGATGATCGATGAAGAAGGCATGAATGGGCTTAAACCGCGTACTGCAAGAGTTCTAGGCTGGAAAAAGACCTGGACCTGAACGTTAGGGTGTGAGAGGCCGTACAAACGCCACAACATACTTACTGATGTTGTGTGGGCTTGCAAACGACCCCACCATCATTCACTGTCACCGACAGCTCAAACGGTAACAGGCACTACCACAACCACAGTGACAACTCGGCTGTCTTGTTCCCATGAAAAACTCATCCGCCTCACCGGGTGGCAGCCAGGACAAGTGAGAAGAGATCAACGATTTGTGTAGAAAAACTAATCCTCCCTCTCTCCTAAACGCTTAAAATCAACTTCCGAACACCACATAAATCTGCACCAGTGGACATTCCGGGAGGAGTTGACGAAACAGTAGTTATGTGGGCAAGATCTTACTTCGTAGCCGTGCCTGTAATGGGTTAGGATAGGTGTCAGAGTTAGGGGTTGGCGTTAGGGGTTAGGGTTGGGGGTGAGGGGTTGTGGTTAGGGGTAAGGGTTGAGGATTAGGGGGTGGGGTATTCTAGGGCTTGTCAACTGCAGGTACGGCTGGGAAATGAGACCTGACCGTTATTTGAAATCAGAAGAATACTCCTGTATTTTTAACACCGGTTAACTCCCTCCATCAGGGTTTCTTGCTGAACCAGTTTTCGAACGACCTGAGTAAAATGCTGTCGAGCGATCCGAAAATCAGTTAGCTGAGCTCATAGTAGATAATGCACCTGACCGTGTCGGACTAAAACCCACTTAAACAAGTACAGTAGATGTTTTTGTATGCCACAGATGCTTGGGGTCCCCCTCCCGATCCTTACCGATGAAGCCTTCGGCATCATAGAGAAGAGGGAGGTCTAACACCTCTGCGTAATTCTGGACACTGGTTTTCCATCAACTCGATTTGCACTCGAGGAGGTTCCAACGATTAACTTCCAATCTCTTTCTCCTGTATAAAGGTCAGTACTGAAGTCACCTTCAGCTGTAGAAATAATTGTCCTGTCTCACACAAAAGGAGCCATTTTCGAACATTATTTTATCTGTGAGTTCTGCTACTGCGGAAATGAATGGCAAACAGGATTTCTGTAACGAAGATAATGTTAAGGTAACGCAAGGCTATTCCAGAGGATCATAAGAGCTGGATTTTCTCTGTTCAGTTTGGATGGGCAGTCAGTGAGTCATATGAAAACTTGACTCCGACGTGGGAGCCAGGAGCCGGAAGACAAGGCGGAAACCACAGGGATGATCCTGAGATTTTCCACACTGTTTTACACGAAGGCAATCACACAACAGCTAAGGGATGCTGACATTCACAATGCACACACACACACACAAGCTTACGTTACCCCTGAGCGAAGACCCTGTCACGAGTTAAATACTTTACACCAGTGCAGGGACATATCGGTATTTTTTTCACCGCACTCCCAGTGCCGGCGGCGGATCGATTGCTTGCCACTCACCTCGTTCGTGGAACCGATCCCCTGCGCCCGGCATTTATGCATTCACGCAAAAGAGCTCATCTTCTCAGTCGGCATGTCATCGAAGTTATCGATTCGACCCCCCACCGAATAAATGATTAGAAATAACGCGTATCCCCGCGCGTCTTATCAGCAGTCTGCACTGTCCGCTCGTCATACTCCGCCGTACTTTCCCTACGCAACGTCAGTGCACAGGCGAATGTGTTGGCGAATACACGTCATTCGAACTGTGCGTCCGCAACAGATGCTACACATGGGAAGGGGCGTGGTGGTACGCCTAGACACCTAGCCCAGACCTCGCATCAGATCGGCTCGGACAGTGGATTGAAGTCCGAGAGAGGGAAAAGTGAGTGAAGTTGATTCTGAGGACTCCGCCCCCACAGCATTCAGAGCCTCTTCCTCACAACAAACAAGTAGACTCGCTTTAAACCTATCACGATGCGCTAATACAGTCAGGTGTTTGCCACAAAGGGCTAGAAAAATTTGTTCAGCAGATATAGTATCGAGGAGGAACTTAGAAAAAAACTCAGGACTTGTTTCGCCAAAATGGGTATCCTGACAGGTTCATTGCAAAGAACCTTGCCGAACCACCCGCAAAACCCACCACACTGACCGCCGAAAAGAAAACGTTGTTCCTCAAAGTCCCTTTCCAAGGAGACGCTGCAAGTGAACTCCTAAGAAGACGCCTTGACCAGGCTGTCTCGGGAACCTTCTCAGCAGCAAGGGTTTGCATATCATTCTCTGCTAACCCTATTTTACGCGGAGAAGACAAGGATAGGCTGCCAGTTCAGACCGCCTCAATGTGCATCTACTCATTCACTTGCTCCTGTGGAGCAGATTATATTGGTCGTACGAGTCTGCGCTTTTCCAAAAGAATACGAGAGCATCTTCCCGCATGGCTGGCAAAAGGTGAAATTAGGAGAATAGACAGCGCCATCCATGCGCATGCAGTGAATTCAGGGCATCGTGTGAACCCCGCTGAAGCATTTCGTGTGATTTATAAGGTCTCCTCGAGCTACCCTAAGCTACTGGGCCAGCCCCCGTTAGCAATAACAGAAGCGGCCACCATCAGGTTAAGAAAACCGACCCTATGCGCCCAGAAGAACCTCGCTCAGGCCCCGTTCTTACCATGGACAAAGGTTGACTAACCACATACAACTTTCTGCGCCCTTCCGCTCTTGCCCAGCCTGTGTTTTTGAAACAAACTTGTATCGATTTTTTCACTCACTGTACCCCGTCCCATATAACTGTACTGGCCTGACGCGAAGTTATCGAAAGCAACGTTCGCTCGCCACTTTTTCTTCTTAATATCCCTGACTTAGAGGGCTATCAACTGACAGGATAACTCGGTCCCCGTCTTGGGACGAAGAGTCAAACTGCAATGGGTCTTTCCTACTGAGGCCTCTCTGGCAGTCTCACTCAGTTGAGGTCGGAGCCATCCCTCTGTTGTTTCTGTGAAAACCGGGCCCGTTGCTTGTGTGGCACGCGTGCCAGTTGCCGTGCACTGTCACGTCTCCGGTCCCCGGTCTCCGGTCTCCAGTCTTCTTCTTCATCTTCTTCTTCACACCGGATCCAGGAGGTTGATGGAGGGAAATGTGTAAAATATGCCGCGCAAGTCTGCCATTAGTAGGAATTAGCTTAAGCGCAAGTTTCTGCCACCGCGCCCACCATGCTCTGGTGCACACGGTGGATATCGTCGTCGTCGTCGTCGTCGTCGTCGTCGTCGTCGTCGTCGTCGTCGTAGTCCTCCTCCTCCTCCTCCTCCTCCTCCTCCTCCTCCTGATTCTTTGCATCCTTGGCATTGGAACGGTGATTAATTTCTGACGACGGGGTGTACAGGTTGGTTGCGAAGTGTAGGCGTCGGTTCGTGTGCCACGTGTATCTGGTGCTTCCTTGGGTGCCTTTCAACTAGTTTGGACACATTCTTAATGTACGGAAACGTTCTCCACATTTACGTTCATGCTCAGAAAAGAGATTGACAATAAACTCCAATTTCTGGATGTCCTCCAACAGAAAAAGACTGACGGGACACTTCAATCATCAGTTCACCGCAAGGGGACTTGAGCAGAAGTTCTTTTACATTATGCGAGTAATCACCCAATCTCTCACAAACGGAGCGCCGTGAACAGCCTCCTTAATCGAGCAAAAACTCGCTGCCCTGAGAATGAAACTTACCAAACCGAAATGAATTATTTGTTCAAACTGTTTTCCCGGAATGGGTATCCTAGAGATTTTGTACATCGGCGCATGAGACAGCAGAAGTTAAAATAAAAAGACAAGGAACTAGATTTTTCCGATCAGGCGCCCAAACCAAGAGACTAGTGTACGCTTCCGTACATTAGGAATATGCCAGAACTAGCTGAAAGACACCTGTGAAAGCACCAAATACACGTGGCACATAAACCGACGACTACACTTCGCAACCAACTTGTACACACCAAAGGATAGGGTTAGCAATTTAGATTTTCATTGGACAATACGTGGAGAAGCCAGCCCGGGAGCTGCAGAACCTAAGTAACTAAAGGCGGGAGGTAGACTTTGTGCTGGCGTGACTGGGTAGCCAGAATAAGCGACCGATGGGTGGTTCTCCTCATGGAGAAAGCACAGGAGGAGGAGGAGGAGGAGGAGGAGGAGGAGGAGGAGGAGGAGGAGAAAGTGATTTGTGCCGAGCCAAATAAATGGGCAAAGAAAAAGCCTCTGCAGAATGAATTTAATGGGTCTTTGTGTTTTCTACGTAGTTGACTATCTACTGCTAAGGCCTACGCCCTCAAAATCTCCGAGAAACACTATTGGTTATCATAGGAGAGACGACAGAGTCTGGGGGTACATTGATACAGCACTGTTTCGGCCTTGCTTGCCTTCATTCAACCAATTATAACCCTAACCACCAGCTGGGACCGGAAAAACAAACATGCGCACAGACGCACCTGGCGCAGTTGATCCACCACTGGGGTCTACCAGATGGGTCATAAGCACCTCATCGAGCCGAAGTTCATCAGTGCCTCGCCACCTGCCAGTCTCTGTCGCTGCAGATCGGGTATTTATTCACTCAAGAATGGGTGATATTTTCATTCTACCTGTCTTGCCACACTGACTGGGTGGGGAATTCACATCTACATAGTCGTATTGTTAAAACCTCAGGTGGATAGAAAACATGGAGTCCAGAGGGGAAATGTATATCTTATCAGATGCCGTCATATATCAATGAAAATCGCCTATGCAGTACGGCCTAAAATCGGTTTTACATGTGCTATCGACGAAATATGAGATTTCTTATTGCTTTACCAAATTCTTGATAGTTACAAGTGGGAACTGCAGTTGGAGAGGGGTCTGATATTCAGGTATTCTTGATATCGCTCGTTGAAACTACCCCCGAACACGTCACATTGCAATGAGGTAAAAACATCCAGCTGACTGTGTGGGACATCTGTTGCTGGGAGAGCCTTCGAAATCCTGAACTGTGGGCCAATGAATTGTTATTGTGAAAGAGTGACCATCACAGGTTCGAAAATGCTGGTCGGCAGATACAAGCACAGTAAACATTCATCCAAGCACAAGCCGGTAGCATTTTTATCATGAAAAACCAGACTGCTACTTTAACATTATTAAGACTTCCATTACCCTGCACGGTCAATTCGTCAGAATAATTCGCCCATCTGCCTCCAAAAACGGACTCATTCGTCAGTTATTCTCGTCCGAAACTGTGATACACCTGTCTAAATAGCGTCACCTTATTAATTAGAACACGACTTACACCTTCACAGAGGCTAATTCAAGCCGGCTTCTGTACCGTGTCCATTCAACCATGGCACTATAAGCGGTCTTACTGTCTTTAAATCATGTTTTTCCAAAATCATTCTCACACTGCAAACAGATTCCCGGAATTCACCTTCACGTTGAAAAACGGAAGAAAATGCGGACGGATTATGACGCACACATTCCCATATACCCCTGTGGTCTCCCATTGTTGCCATTGTTGTTAGATCGTTACCTGTAGTCCCCTGAATGTATAAGTTGTTTTGCATCGTACCGACCAACATGAAACCGTGGCTTTGATTTACCCGCCCGCTACATCTCGATCGACTGACTCGTCTAATGACTTCGGAAGACTAGCCGTGCCTTGACGGCAACAGGACTATCGATCCCTTAACGAGGACAGGTTCTGCGCTGTGAGAATGGTTCACTCACATCCCGTTATGCGATACATAGATGAACTGGACGACCATAGGCCGGTTTGTGATGCGAGACGGGTGAGGCACCAACCATTTGGCACTCCCTACCGTACATAAAGAATGTGTCCGAGGCTGCAGAACGCATTGCGTCAGAGTTAGGCGTGGACATCATGAAAATGAAGGATTGGCTGGACGCAGGTGAGCAGTCGGGCATAGTCTGTCAAATCCCGTGTCACAACTGTCCTTGCCACTACACAGGCCAAACAGGACGACGTCTCAGCTCACGAATACTTGAGCACAAACGGGCCGTTCGGAGAGGCGACCCACTATCTCAAGTCACCATTCACACGCTGGAGGAAGGCCATGAGTTCGATTTCGTCAACACGCGGATATTGGCGCGAGTCGGCAACAAGACGGGGTGAGAACTGTTGGAGGCGTGGGTGTCGGACACCAACTCTGTCAATAGACACATTGATTTGCCTGCGTTTTATCACGCGCTCCGCCCACGCAGCCAGGTGGCACAGCTCACATCGCCGCGAAGTACAAACGGCGTCATTGCGCCGGGGGACCATTGTGGACCAGGCGACACAAACCAGACCTAGCCACGGACGTAGTCTCCCCCCACACGACACAACGATATAAATGCTCACACGTTGCTGCACTCCAGCAGTCTCTCATGGTGAACAGGACTATCGATCCCTTAACGACGACAGGTTCTGCACCGTGAGAATGGTACACTCACACCCCATTATGCGATGAAATGGACGACCAGGAATGACAGCTGTTGGCTCCATAGGCCGGTTTGTGGTGCGAGACGAGTGGGTGTGTACGCAGTGCTGTGAGTAGTAAGGTGTGTACGAGGGGGGGGGGACACACTTCTTCACTCCCTTCATCCTCAGTGGTCTTGCGGCAGGCCTCTCCCGCAGTCGCCAGCGCCGCCTTACTGTCCGTCTCACGCGACAGACTATAATCTTCGACTCATTAGAGGCCTGCCTGTCAGTCGCAAAAGTGCAGTTCCTCAGCCTACAATGGGCTCACCTCGTGAGCCAGCAAGGGGCAGATATCGACCGCTTCACATCGCTGACAGTCTTGACACACAGTGCTCCCACTGGTAGGGGACGCTCACCTATCGTTCTTACGGAACTCACTCATCCCGTTGTGCCTTACGGGCTCTCTCTCTCGAGACTAACCAGCAGCAGCACGACGGCGCATGATATAGGCATTATGTTAATACCGACAAAGACAAGGGAGACTGGAATGGCCATTTCTGGCTTATTAGCCGTCGTCAGCCAGTCATACCCAATCCCGAAGCGTGGAACACCCGAGGCTCGGACTCGCGACCTGTTAGTTAGAAGTCCACGCCTCTAACCGCTGGGCTACGAGCCCGTTGCCCTGTCGGTTTTCGATCGGGAATATACACTGGTAGGGGGCGCTCACCGATCGTTCCTACGGAAATCACTCGTTCCGTTGTGCCTTACGGGCTCTCACTCGAGCTCAACCAGCAGCCGCACTGCGGAGCATGATATAGGCAGGACCGGTGAAATGACTGATCGAAGGACGATTCTACGCATTGGCGGGATGCAGAAAACCAATTAGGAAGGCTAGATGGCACAGCAACGAAAAGAATAGGGACGGCAGATATCCACTTTTCGTAAATCAGTGATAAGTCACCAGCGAAAGCGGAAGAAGGGTCAGAACAGAGGAACTGAAAAGGAACGTTGGCAATGAAGGCGGAGACTCAAGTCCTCCGAACATTTGCCCTAACCATTACATTAATCCGAAAACCAACCACAATCTCTACATTAACTTCAGCCCTAACTCTTCTGGCCCTAATTTTGGCCATAACACCAACTGCCATAACCGTGAGCCTAGCCCTAACCCTAATTCTAACTCTCCTAACTTAAGCCGCGACATCAACCCTAACCCAAAGCACAACACTGCCCCTAAGCTCAACTTCCCCGCAATTCTGGACAAGGCCATCTGTAGTACGGCGAATGTTCATACTCCAGGACCAAGCCTATGGCTGAAGACGGTGCTTCTTCGACATTCTGTGGTGGACATTTTTGAGGATACCGCATCCGCGGACAAGCTGTTTAACCCCCACTTGGGGTTGCTCCGCATTTACTGTGTGAGAGTTTGGCTGTCGTTACCGACAAAGTCCACTGTGGGCTTCAGAGGAGGGTAAGCGCAGACATGATGACTTGTGTGTGTGTGTGTGTGTGATTTCTCTTATAGTGATAGCAGGTAACAATCGGGAGATGGCACCCAAAAATACTGCCACCCAAAGCAGCCTGTCTTACGGGAACGGCTGTTGCCTTGGCAACAGCCTTCTTCGTTGACAATATTCAACCACATTTTCCGAATTTATATCGTCCAAAAATTTTTCGGTCTTGCTTCTATGCATAACCGTAATACGACAAATCATTTTGGCCATTGCGTCTAGCGATATATAAGAGTAACAAACAATTACTTCCCTCATAACTACAATTTCTACACAATTATTTTTATGGAAACAAAATGCGTCAGCATCAAATCAACTACATACGGTTACACAGATACTTCTTTTTTAAATATGACACATTACCATTAGCCTTACATTTACTTAATCGCTTCCAATGGTGAATTCCTAGTTTCGGTCAGTGCTCGCGAGAGAGTAGGCAGCATAGCGTTATTAGCCGTGGAAAACACGTACACTACCTTTCAGTGCCGCCAGCCCACACACCTAACCTCACCATCGTCCTTTTGATGAAGGATGCCTTGGGTGTCTGAACTGACGTGCTCAAATGCCTGGCGGATTGAATAAAATGGTTTCGCTTCTATTGAAAATGGTTTACGTTTACAGCACTGCTAAATATTTACCTGTTATTCAGCGCGCCCATTTTCTGGTGCTATATACCGAAAAAGTAAAACTTTTCCGCTCGAAAAGCAAATTTTCTAAATATTTTAATTTTTTTCTGCTATTATCAACGCATTCATAGGCCCCACCCATAAAACCCCCATTACCACCGTTCCCGCTGCTTTGGGTGACAGTATTTTTTGGGTGCCATCTCCCGATTGTTACCGTGATAGCAGACTTGCACGGCACCTACCGCACTCTCTCCTCTTCAACAACCTAGGCCCGGTGCAAAAACCTAGTCAAGAAGGCCGGAGGCGGGAGAGGACGCAGGTAGCTGGGCCGGCCGGAGCCGTTCCTAGGCATGCCGACACACCCGACTCGGATCCTACGGAGTGGGAATGCCATAAAGGCCGACTGTCACGTCCAAGTTATCCTGTCAGTTGGCAAGCTTCCAAGCCACGGCTTTTGGCGCACCGTGATAGCCGCAAACGCGTCAGACTTTTATCGGGAGGACAGTGCGCTGAGTCGTCGACCCCACTTTCTACTCCTAGTCCCAGGGCTCAACCACTGTCCGAGCCGGTCAGTTGACAGGCGTGGGGAATGGGCGCGGTGGCCGACATATTTAGTGATCTCGTCTGCGCACGCCACATGTACGACCTGGTCCTCTAAAAACAGTCACAGGGTTTCGTGCAACAAGGCGTGAGCGGCATGCATCTCACAGGCGTGAGGATGCCACAGGTCCCGCTATGATGGGGCCGTTGCAGTCTGACTCTCAATCCACCAGTGCGTCGCTCTGCACGAACACACACACACACACACACACACACAGACACACACTGTATGAGAGCACATGGACTCGCATAGTCTGTTTAAATGCATGGTCTGCCACTCTTCGGTAAGTCATGATGGGTGTCTTTTTTTAAAATTTTCTGGGTCATGCTCCGAACCGACTTACGTACGACTGACCTCCCCTGCCTCCTCAGACGTCTCAAACAGAACTTTTGCGTGTAGCCATCAGACTGACCATCAGTTGCATTCCCACGCCAGCGGTCAACTTGGTCACTTTTTGGCGTCTCGCCGCCATTACCGCGCGCATACTGTCGTTCGTCTGCATTTCTGGCACTGGCAGCTGGCTGAGTGCATGGTGGACTGAGGCCATCTCATACAGATCCACGTTTCAGTGACGTCTTACCCTAGGCTAGCCAAGTTTAACAGCCTGGCTATTTGAGAGGCACCTGGGGAGAGGTGTAAAACGCACGCGTGCATACGCTCATGCGTGTCCCCAAACGGACCATGTGGTAAATGTGCTGGGCCAATAAAAAGGCTATATCGAATTCTGGAAGGCGTTATCCGATTTGCGCACCATAACAAATGCCAACATTTCGGTGGGTGCTAAGGCAGACCCGACTGTCGGCAGACGTCCCGCACACTGGGACCCCTACCGCCCCTCCATTGTTGTTATTGGTCAAAAACCTGGTCTTGAAGAAGGAGACACGTCAGGCTAATAAAGCTCTTGTCCCGGCGATCGTGTCTCCTTCTTCAAGACTACTTCCTGGGACTCGTCTCTTTGCTTCTATTGGCAAAAACCTGGTCATTTGCTGTGTGGGCCAGGGGGTGTAGGGTGGAGCACCAAGGTGCGGGCTCGACCGTGCCATCCGCCTGCTCCCTCCTCCGCCTCCGGCCTTCTTGACTGTGTCCTGACATCGGACCCAGACGGGAGAGTAGGAGAGAGTGCGGTAGATGCTGTGCAGGTCCACTATCACTACAAACTATTTCACGCACAAGTCACCGCCCTTGCTCTCGCCTGGATGTGGAGCACACGGTGGACATCGACGGTCGAACTGTCGGGTGCATGCGCGAGTGTCAACGGAGGACATACTTCGGCCCTTGTGGAGGCATTTGGAGCGATTGGAGGGCTGAGTCAGATTGCAGTGAATCCTTCCAAGGTGGCGCTTGTGGTACTGTCACTCATGTGAGCTCCGAACCGCATCATGCATGGCAGTGGTGACCAGGTCGTGGCCGGGTACGCCTGGCATTGCCAGACACTGCGCCTGAGTCTGACTCTGGTTGCCTTGACATTGTTATGCCACCAGAGCAGAATGGACGAGTGCGGCAGATGCTACGCAAGTCTGCCTCGTCATAAACTGATTCACGCGCAAGTGACGGCTGCTGCGCACACTCCATGGCGCGCGTGGTGGGCGTTGTCACTCGCTAAGATAGAACTGCTGGCTGCACTGAGTTCATCGGTTTGGTGGTAGAGGCGGATCCAACAGAACATCCGACCGAAATACGAGTTCTAAGCTAGGCGTTGGAGGTAAAAGCTGGCGAAATTGTACTGATAACATGCAGCAAAAAGTGATGGAACTAGATGGAGAAGTGCATTTGTCTCTGACATCTCGGTGTTGCAGCTCGTTGCGCCTGCTTCATTTAAGCAGCTAGAGAGAGACACAATCTGCCTCTACTGTCCCAGTTTCAGACGCACCCTTTTTAAATCAATTTTTATATAGGCCGGCAGTTGTGTTAACTGACAAGGCATTAGCGATGACGGTATTTCAGAGTTTGATACCTCCGAAGACCTAATCCAAGACGGTAAAGTCGATCTTTAAAAAAGGTGTAACCTAGTCCCGTCTAGAAAAGTAGAATTTTTATTGTAATATCAACTATACCCTGAGAGATTGGATTCTTTGAACAGGCCGTACTCTCTCTAACTGCCGCCGATTTTTGACCACACAACAC